CAACAGTTCCTTACCGTCGTATTGTTAGTGGTCCTATTGAAGAGAATTGTAATGTATCACGACCGGCGCATAATCTCACAGTGACCAAACGTGGTACGGTGTGGAGTTATGATAGGAGGCTTACTACATCCAGTTTGGCGTATTACAGATATGAGATCCCATGGAAAGACCGATTTGCGGAGAAATATCATAGATTTCTTCTTAGCGATCTGAACTGGACCTTTATCAATACTAAGAGAAGTACCTACTTAAATTTACCTTACCCACGAACCTTGTATATGTATTCCTCGCTTTGTGCTCCAGTACGCGTGGGAGATCAGACGACTGATCTTATACGTCAAATACACTACCAACCAATCTTGGAAGGAAATTATTATTACGAACCCAAGCAGATGCATTACATCAAGTTACGTAAGAATCACATCGATGTGGTGGAAACACAGATGAGTGAGTCGGAAAATAATAATTTGGCTCAGTTTACAGACGGCGCTTCTATAGTCACATTGCATTTTAGACGAGTGAGATAACATGTTTAACCAAAAAGAGACAGCCAAAGGCTGTCTGTCTGAAGCCGCCGCCGCCAAAAACCGAAGCCCAGGAAAAGGTAGTCGAGGTAGTCGCCAAGCTCGATTTCTGTCTGCCCCGGTTTCCGTGTATATATGACCGAGTCTGTATCGTAATATAAGACTCGGTCACCCAACTTCTCCAACGATTCGTACAATTTAAGGCGGGCCAAACAGGTGGTAAATGCTGCGTTGAAAATATTCGTATTGCTCCCTTTGTAAGGATCTTCTTCATCGCGTTTCTACGATACTTCTATCATTTCAGAATTAAGAATACGGATGTCTGTCACGGTGAAGAGAGGGTCGTCAAGCAGATCTAGGAGTTCTTAGGGTTTCGTGCATTGTTTGGTCTTCGATTTATTGTTTTGTTGGCCAAATTTCCCCCAGAAGGAGTTAAGCATGAGTTTAGCCGTGGCTTTTCTTCCGGGGTTCTTGACGATCTTGGTAGGGTCGAGTCGGATACCTTTTTTTCTTCATAGCAATGAATGTATTCTTCTTTTTGCGTATCGGTCCGCACCCAGTTTGGGTAGCCACCGCTCTCTTGCTTAATTTTTAACCAGGTGTCCACGTACGGTTGGAACAGACCTTTTCGACGCTTCGGGAAATCCCATACTTCATGAATTCGGACGAGTCGGTATCCTTTTTCGATCGCTTTATGTATCTCTGGGGTACACCAGGTGCCTCGTAACATTCGTTCTTCATCACTGTGTGGGCAGTGATAGTCGCGTTCCAGCATGTGTTCTTTCTGTGTCTCTATTTCCACACACTTACGGCATAACGGGAGGGTCAGCTTGTAGGAGTTTCCAATTTTATGACGGTAAGGTAAGACTGGGTTATACAGGTCAGTGGGTGGGGTGATGTCCACAGTCATCAAGCCAAAGTAACTTCTAGGGTCTTGATCCTCTGGTTCCAAATAGATGTCCGGGTGGCCTACAGGGTAAGTACCATACTTGTTTACGTAGGGGTACTCAGAGGTTACGTCGATGTAGCGGATTTCTTCTCTTTCTTCTTCATTTACTTTATGGTACAGGCAGGCGGCGCCCGTTCTACCACCGTAAAAACCTTCTCTTGGGTTCAAAGGAGGGACGATATCCAAATCTTTTAGAAATTCGGTAATGGCTGGTGTTTCTTTCTTCTCTTTCTCCCATTCGCACCCCCACATTTCCACCACTCGATACCCTTTACCGCGGAGTTTTTGGATTTTCTGACTGGTCTGTTGGCGTAAGGCTTCTACGGTCAACCCATTGGAACAGAACGGAATTTTTTTGCGATTGGTGTAACAGGTACGACAACCATGATAGAGGCACCCGTGAAATTCGTAGACTGTGCGGGTCTGTGCATCGTAACCATCCACGAAGTACGAGGTTGGGCCAACAGGGATACGATACTCTCCTCCGTTACGTGCGTGCTGAATTCGTTTTCCGGTATTGTATTCTTGCCACATCAACCATTCCAACGATACTTTGGAGTGATTCATACGGGCACCTCGCCACCCCGATGAAGGTTCTACTGCTATGAGATCTAAGGGTAAATGTTTCCTCCTCCAATAACGGTCACACGCTGCGGTGATCGTAACGCATTTTTCCATAGGATTGAAACCGGCGATGCTTTTAAATTCTTGGATGAATTTGTGACATCCAGCTTTCAGTAACGCAACATCTGAGTGACAGTATGCAAGCAGTTCTTCTTTGAGATTCCACACTTCGAATTCTTCTTTTTTCTTACTCGACATTCCCTCCGGATCATAGTAAGAAACTTCAGGTAACGGACCCACATAACTTCGATTTTCTTGCGTATGAAACTTGTGTGGGAAGAAGCCTTTTTTTTTAACTCGGTGAGACCAAAGGTGTCGGTAAATGCGGACAGAGCCATGGGAAGAAAAGCCATGGAATCTTTAAATGTGATTTTACCAGCTTCCAGAGAAATCATCTTTGTGCCGTTAGGAATCATCACATCGAATTTTCTTCCTTCTATCACAAGCTGATGCTGTATGAAAATGGAATCATACCCTTTTAAATTATGGAATATGCAGATGACTTCACGCGGTTCTTTGTACTGATCTTCGGTAAGGTTCGTCAAGAATTCCAGAAACTGTTTACTGTAATCGTCGCCATAAAACGTGTAGGAGGTGTTGTTTTCGGAAGTTTGAGCGCAGACGCAAATGGGTAGGTGTGTTGCGTCTTCCCTGATCATGGCTTCATAGTCCGCGTAGACGAAGATGGGTGGTTCTTCGTACACGGATGCCTCGGGGTTTATTTTTAAATGCTTCTTGAGTTTGGCTTTCGTTTTCCGTTTGGGTGAATCTTCTTGTTTAGGGATGGGTTGAATGTAGCATTTGTGTTCTCTAAGGTTCACGTACTCCTTGCAGATAGAGCATTTTCCAAAGTAACAACGGTGTAGCTGTTGGGGGTCTGGCTGAAATTGTTTGCAACAGTTACCGCATCGTTTTAGGGTCTTGCAGATGTTTTTTGCGCGGTGTAAGGCGAGGCAGTTCTGACTGTAAAAATGGCGGTTGCAGGCTGAGCAGTGGAGAGTGGGTTCGCGAGGTTTTGTACCACATTCGGTCTGCTTGCATGCTTTACAGCGACGGCCCTCGCATGGGTGGTTGCGGAAGTCGTCATGGTCAAAGCCTTTGTTGCACGTGTCACAAAAATACGATCTTTCCAGGAAGCCGAGGTAAGACGTACATCCATGGTAATGACCCATATCGCTTTCGTACTCTGGTTGATACAGGAGGCGGATGATGTACTTTGGCGATTCCACGTTTCCTTGAAACGTAATGCAATATGGATAGCATGTGGTCATCACTTTCAACTGGTAGTCGGGCGACAGGTACTGTTGAAACTTTTCTAATTCGGCACGCCCACAAGGGCCTTCGGGCACACCAGCTTGCTTGTGAAGGAATTTGGCGCATCGGGTGAGCACATTCGGATTATTTCCAAGATTCTTATAGTAACGCTTTCCCTCTACACCACCGTCTTTATGCAAGTGGGCTTTTGTTAGACGAATGGCTCTTGCAAGGCAAAGGTTGTCCTCTGAATTTTTAATCGGTAACACACATTGTTTGTTGTGGAGAACATCTTCAATATTATGTCTTCCCTTTGTTAATTTAGATTTACCACCTTCCTTTGGTTTTGGCACGATGGTGAGGTCGACGGCGAACTTATCCTCAGGGCTAAAAGATTCATTCGAGTTAAGTTGATTGTCCAGTTGGTTCATATATGCACCAAATCGCTCTTCGCCATTTCCATTCATGATTTCACCGACAGTAAAGCGTTGTGTTTGTACATGGTGGTCAAATTTCTCGGCTTTAAAGTTTAAAAACACTTCATCTGTATCTGTCAATGTTTTGTTTTGCCACTGGTCGGTAACTTTTTTGCGATGGAGTGTTTCTTTCATCGATCTAAGAAATAAAAAAGGTCCTTAGGGATCTAGCAGTTTTTTCTCTTTCATTTTTGATTTCTACGACAAGTTTTGATATTGCTAGGTCAGCTTCTCCGTATATCGAAGACAGATGATGATTTTTATCTATGTCTGTTTCATAGTGCTCGTAGCAATTACTTAACGACAGAAACTAAATCATGATCATCTTACCTGACTAAAGCCTCCGTGACTTCTTTTCCCACATTATCGTTCTTTGTTGGGTTACGCCTCTGTTTTAATGTGGCGCGATATCTTTGTTTATTCGACGCTGATTTCTTCCACCGCTTGGGGAGACCAATTTTTTGGAAATCAAATTCAAACAAGGGCATACCACCACCAATTTGCTCAGGGTGTTCATCCAAACCAATGTCGAGGGCATCTAATTGTTGTTGATCCAATTCACGACCAAATTGAACCATTTGCGAGTCTGTCACATCGTTGCCATATTGATTTTCAAAGACTTCTCCAATTTCGTTTAATAAGTCATCCGAAATACCATCATCCCCATATTCGGTAAAATTTCCGCACAGCCCCATACTATTGTAAAACAAATCTGTTTTCCCAACGGCAATGTATTGTTTTTGTCATTGTTTTCTCTATCCAAGAACTGAATGCATAATGTAGGATGGGGCTGTGCGGAAATTTTACCCCATATTCCACTTCGTCAAACTTTCGTTTCGCCATTGCTCGATCCCTCAATTCAATCTACAACTTTACACTTTACTACTTCTTCCTCTACATCTGCAGCTTTTGAGATAATGGGGCAAGCTTTGTAGTAGTTTTTTTATGAAATTTGAATTTCAAATTTTTCAGGCTGTATACGACTCTGATTGGCGACGATTTCCTTAGGGGATTGGGCAGCCTCAGGCAGCTACAAATTTGTTTAATTGTTTTCCCTAAGGGGCTCTGTTTTATTCGAAAACGTAGTTCAAAGGCTTTCCACTTTTCAACTTGCGTTTAAAGCAGAAGCGTCAACGGTTGGTTCAAGGTTTTGACTACGATTTGACTACTTTATCAGTAAGAAGAAGTTTTGACGAAAGCAGAGGAGCCGATAAGCCCTGCAATGAGCGCCCCACCACAAATCAAAGCATCAAATTGCCCAGATTCAATCTGAGGTATCGGCTGCCCGTTCAAAGACGTACAGATGAACTCAGTATAGACCTCTTTTTTCTTTGCTTCCTTTAACATCTCAGCTGAGATGTCCAAAGCACATAGATTGGTGTATCCGAGTTTCTTGAGCTCAACTCCTATAAGCCCTGTCCCAGCTCCAACGTCAATGATTTTGATCTGATCCTTTGGTTTGTCCTGTTTAACTTCTTTAAGGGCGTTATGCAAAGATTCGGCGAGTGGCTTGAAATATAAAGTGTGCGCCGCTGAATGTTCCTATATGATGAGAAAGTTCAAGCTGATTATTAAGATTAGTTGTTCGATAACTACAACAGTAGTCTAGTGTCGCCTTGGGCACCTTTTCCTCGAGAGCTCCGGTAACTTTACGGTTAGTCTTTGAAAAATTAACTAATGCTCATTTATTCCAAATTGTACTCGAAATCATATGATTACCTTACTAAGACTGCACTATTATTCCCTCAATTGGGATCTAGGAATGTTGCAGCGAGACCCGAATGTTCCAGTAGTACTGGAACATTCGAGAAACGCAGCCCTGAATAATGGATCAGGTGTCCGGTGGGTCAAACGGCGATGTGCCACATGGTCCCCCAGACCATTATTATTATTATTTTACTATTTTAGAGTACCTCGTCATATGTTGCTGACCGTGCAGCATAAATGCGTTTGATCTCATCTTCGGTTGTTTCTTTGGTTATTTTTGCTGCTGTCTCTCCGAAATACTTCATTAAGCTTGCTTTTAACTGCTTCTCATCCATTCTTTACAGAGGAACAAAATGCAAAATGTCACATACACTTGTCTGATGAAGGCTTTTATTATGTGAAATGCGGTGCTTTGTAATGATTTTCAGCCTTGGGAAAAGCCTTAACAGAACACGTGTAAAATTACGAGAACTTTTTTACATGTGCTTGTTATCGCTAGTCAGCTGCCAACACGTCAATCGCCTTTGAACCACTCTGCAGGGTTGATGATTGACTGGCAAAGCGATCCTTGGAATACGGGTTGACAAAAGCAATTCATTTCCACGTTCTTCGCCAAGCTGTTCTTTGAGTAACAAATTGAAAAAATTTATAGCTTAGCCTTTTACCTGGCAACGAGCAATGAATAACTGCTGTGATTTACAGAGTTGAATGTTCTGAATAATACAAAGTACAAAGTTGAATTTAAAGTGTGTAACAAAGCGCTGATTGGACAAAACAAACAATAATAACACACCAACGTATGCATTTACAAGGAAAGTTTTAAATTAACATGATAAAGTTAATGATTAAGTGTAGGTTTCTTCCGCTGAATGTGGATAGCTTCTTTGATTTTAGGTTGAAAAGTTGTGGAAGCGTGATCCAAGATGCTAAAACACTCATCAGAACAAAGGGTGCAACATAATGGAGAATTATGTAGATGTCTGAAAATGTGAGGTCTTATCAGCATTTTGTTACACACTTTAAATTCAACTTTGTACTTTGAATTATTGAGAACTGAAGATGACAGAAGAGCTGTTGAAACATGTTTTTAAAGAGTTCAACGTTCTTTATAAAACAATTAAGCTAATCTTCAAGTCAAGTGCAGTTCTTTACCGCAAACAAAACAAACCTTATCACTAGTATCAATGTTTCAGTTGAATTTAACATAAATTTGTCTCAAAATCCTAACCACTTCTAATAGTATTTCTGAAATTGTGGGGAGCAAATACACGGTCGATAGTGTTAGATTTTCAAAGTAAACAAAACATGACAATCAGAACAAAAATCATAGAGTGGAATGAATCAAGAACAAGCTGTTCACCATACAACACTAATTTCTGGTTACCATGTATCTGCGGCAAAAAACCATGTATCATCGGAAAAACTAAGAGAACTTCATTGCATTCGCTTTCACTCATCTTCAATGCTTCACAATACTTTGGAATGGAAGAGTCCAATGTAAATTTTGAATTTTCACTGAAATTACAGTTTCAAGGCTACTATTTTCATACTAGTGATGTTGTGAACATTACAGTAACTGAGAAAAACGAAAACGTTACTGAAGAGTTCAGAATAATGTTGGGTCGCACTTAGGGAGAAAACTATGCCCTATCAAGCCCACCATACTCAGCGAAAGGCACCAAGGACTCTCGATCTGCCTTTCTCGGTTCTCTAATACACAATCAATTCTACTTACATCCAATTTTACCCCACCCTGTGGAACTCTGGTTAATTTCTTCGACTCTTACAATTTGATTCTCTCTGAATAATTTTTATTGATTTGTGTCGCGCATGCTACAAAATGAACTATGAAGTACATGCTTATATAGTCACTAGAGATAGGCATGGGCGGGCATGCCAATCTCCTGGCCTTGAATGGTTATTTTAGACCACGACGTCTAAAAGGTAGACAATGACTCAAGCATGGCCATTCTATTACGCATTTCGCTTAAACGCAAAGAATTCAGACATTTTTCGCTCATAAATGGTATATTTAGTTTTTCTTTATAAAAAATGTTAGATAAAAATATTAGAGAATACTAGAAAATCAGATTTCAAAATACTTAAAAGAACATTTTAGCTATAACTATCAATTTTTCTAGTTTCAGAATACGCCGTCTCTAAATGCCCTTCAACCAGGTACGTTCTAAAATAGATGAAATGTCTGGCAGTCAGAAATTTTCAGAGAATTTCCACCGACAGGTTCTTTCAAACTTGTTAAAATTATCAGATGTTTGTTTAGAAATGTCAAAGATAGTTGGCTTTTAGTGGACAAATTCTCCGTGCCGTGCAGCCTATAATATTGCTCGGTTGTCAACACTCTGATCAGATTGCCGGGCACGGACCAAAAGCCCGGCGGTCAGAATTTTCAAATGGTTCCATTCTCCGTTCTCCATTGATCAAAATCTTAGATAAAAGTAGTACAGAATACTTGGCGATAAGATTTTAAAATACTCAAAAGTACATTTTGGCTAAAACTGTTATTTGTTTTAGTTTAAGAGCAAGTTGTCAAACCGTTATCTCTTTAGAAATTTTTTCAGTAAAAATTCAATCTGTTTTGCATTTATGGAGCGCCGTCTTTTCCCAGTAGATTTAAATTGCTAGAAAACAATATATATAAAACACTTGGTTCATACGTGCGTTCATGGAGACGTGGAGCGCGTGGAAATTTTTAAAACGACGCCTCGAGCAACTTCTCTGTCGCTGTCTAAACTTCCCGTATATCGGCCATGAGCGCACGCTAAAGTATAAACTAATTGTTAATTCAAAGTGACAGTATGGTTAACCAGTGGATACCCTGTATAGAACATGGAGATATCAGATGATGGAAGAAAATATCATGAAAAGGAATTGATTGAAACAACGGTTTTTTATATCTCTGCTTCAATAAGCTTGTAGAGTGATGGCTTTGAATCTGTTCGTGGGTGCACAGTTGTCTTGAGGTTGCGACGTTTGAGAGTCGTGTAGCTGAACTAAAACCATGTGTACCTGATCTAGAAATGTATACAAGCGAGCAGCTATAGACCCATGCGGTCATAGCTGCTTGTGTTAACAATCAAAATCTTTGATTCACTGCACAGAGTGGGTTGACTAATCTCATGTTATGACTATATTTGGTCATGGATGATTGACATCGGGTTCTTTGGCCTGACAATTTTGGTGGATGGTACTGTAGGCACGCATTTTTTTTCGCAGTATTTTGTTTGTTATTACAACGCAATATGAGCTGAGTGCAAGTAGGAACATCACTGCCGCCACAGTACATACCATCAAAGACAAAATTTCGTTTGGAATTTGTCAGTTAAGAGTGTGGCGTTCTCTGAGGTGAAAAGACCTTGAATGACCTTCATAACGATCAGGTAGCTTTTATATTGAAGGGTCACGTGACAGACTCTGTGTCAGAGTGTACATGAATTATCAAGGAATCTAGAAAGAACTGTCAATAACAGAGCTGCCACTTGTCACGCCTTTATGTCAAGTATCGTTTCAAAGTTATGCTGGTCAGAATTCCAAGTTTATCAAGAGAACCTTCTAAAAAATTTGCAGAGAAAGCTTGCAAACTTGGATGCAAATCCCAGTTCTGATTACTCGAACGCTTCATGTATACCGTAGGGTATTGTAGCCGCAAACGCTAATCACACGTATTTCAAACTTTACTAGAACAAACTTGACACATTGTTGAATACGGTAACTGAAAATGACAAAATTACAAACACGCGAATGAGCATAAAATAACTTACATCGTATGAGTGAAAGTACTGGAAAACGACAGAGCGAGATAAACAAGGATACTTACAAGACGAATGTGACCAACCCAAAGACGAAAACATGAAACCCAGAGCTAGATATGTAACGGTAATTTTCACAAACTAGACAACTAACCAAATAAATTACGCGCAACCAATATATATACGATATGCAAATAAATATAACAAGTACAAAACTGGTAACTGACAAAGGACACTAATGGAAGACGAGAAAATAAACACCTAACACGAAACTATGAAACACCAACACTAACAAAAAATGATAGTACAAATTCTTGCGCCTACAGGTATACTCCCAGATACGTTTAGCAGATAACAGCACAAATCTGAAATATGTTGAGGGGCCAAATTTTGTTTTTCTAACACACATTTCAGTTGTCTTTGTAAGTGACTTCTTCTTTCTTTATTACATCTAGCAATTTTCTAACGTTGACTTTGGAAGCATTCCTTTGGAGAGCGTAGATTTCTTTCAAGCCTACAAAATTTACTGTTCAAAGCAGGTAAAGTGCCCTCGTATATCCAACGTTTTATGAACATGTAACACAACTATGTATCACATGCCTCGTTGCACCAACATGTATTACCATAATATTGCACGGACCTTTGTATAATTTACACCTTTGCACGCCTTGTACGTATTTAGTGATTGCAATGCATTAAATATTCAGTTTTGGACATGTAACAGAAGCGTTAACAAACACGACACAGATATCAATTCTGCACTTATAAAGTCATTTCAGTCTGGTTCTGAGATTTCTTTCATCCATAACACCGCTGCATCTGCATTGCTGGAATCTCGAGAGAAAACGTTGCCTCGTCATATAATTGCGTTCGACGAAGGAGAACGCATACTAATCGTGTCGTTTTTAGGAAAATCACTCTCGAGGGTTTTATGGACTAGTTCCTCAGGCACTGGGCGCCATTTTGGACCGGCTGGCTGGCTGACTGGCTAAGTGGCACAAATAGCCTCGATCTCAGTTGCAAATGTTTTCTTGGCCGCCTTGAGCTGAAGACACCGATTATTTTCTCTGCGCAATCAATAAAATAAAAATAAAAAACTTTTACTAAAGATGGAACGCGCTTTACCAATCTTTGATTATTACTAGTTATATTTTTGTGGTCCTTCATGTTGGTTGTAGTCTTCGCCGTTTTTCATCGTTGTCTTCATAGATCGATTGCTAGAAAGAATGAGCTATAGTAGAATATTTCTCAAATTTCAGGTCTGTAGCCATTTCCGCTGATGAGTTATTAGCCTGAATGTCTGACATGAATTTATAGCGCTTCGGATGGGAACGCCAAGTTGGTGCCCATGCAAGGGGTGTCAACATGGCGGCCATGAAGTAATGCAAACATTTGCTGTCTTGTTTCGCTTCCAAAGTAATTCGTTATCGATTTTGAAATTGCTAACATTTATCTAAACACATTTTTCTAATCTTTCTTGTGCTCAGGGAATAAAATGTCACATGATAGCTCATATTTACAGATTTCCGGTGTCGAGCGAAGAAAAACCGAAATAAGAAATGGCTCTA